TTTATTTTAAGTTTATTTTATACAAAAATTTAGGTCTTTTATTTATCGATCGAGGCACTACGAAGTCTGCCGGGTCAGCTAGTGTTTAATATATTACTTTATTATAAAATGAAATTACAAAATAAATTTCAAAGATAACGACGCGACGTCCGCTTACATAAAATATGCAGTCCGTTAGTGAATGTTTCACGCATCCTGTTTGACGTTTACAGATCCGCACCGTAGTATAAACAGACTCTTTGTTTCATTTATGACAATATAATATCCCCTTGTAGTTTACATAGTACTTGCTCGAACTTAGGCCGGTTTCAGCAAGTGCCACAGATTTCTAAATTATTTATTAGCCTTCTGTGCGACTCAAGTGTAATTCTAATAGTTTACAATTAAAAATATATTTTAATAGCTTTGCACATACTTTAAACATACTGTATACAACAGCGGTAACAGCTTCGGTAGGCAGCGGCTTGGCTCTGCCCCTGGCATTGCTGAAGTCCATGGGCGACGGTAACCATTCACCATCAGGTGAGCCGTGTGCTCGTATGCCTACAAGGGCAATAAAAAAAATTACAACAAGTATACATCGATTACTATGACATATGATTACGTTTAAGCTTAGAATTAAAAGAAATTAAGTAAAGCTATTTAAGTTACGTTCGTATAATTATATGTACATATTTAGGCTTCACGGGTAGGATTCTAAAGATTGTTTTGGATGACGACATTGTCGTCGCCTATGTCGATCGTATTCGCTGTCGTCAGAGCAAGGTTCGCGTTTGCTGTTAACTATATCCATACTGATCCTACAGACCTATACCGAACCATGGTACGTTTTAAAAGTTTTTTTTTTCACATTCCAATGAGATCTGGAATAAAAATTCACGATAGTTCTCCGGCGCTGTGGGGTTTTGCCGTTATTTGCGATCGGCGGGCGCCGGTGAAGCGTAAAAGTATCTGCCTAAGACCAAATGAAAAGAAAACAAAATAGAAAAGAAATGTTGTCTTGGAAAAATAAAATATTATTAATACTAAAACTTTTTGTGTCAATTAATTGAACGGAACAGATGACAGTGCAGCTTACAGAATGGATGCAGCTATTGATTGTCAGTAAAAGTTAAATTTGGTTTGACATTTTTTATAGTCTGAAGTACTATGTGCAAGTTCTACTCGTATAATTATATTAGTAGACTAGCCGTAGTCGCCCGCTTCGCGAGGCATTTAATATTAGCATTGTTATTTATTGTCATTATTATTGGAGAGTCCAACACTCATATAAATATTAGCCTATCCATTAAGTACATGTATTTTCTACATGGATACCAAGTTTCAAGTCAATCGGATGCATGGTTCAGTAGTTATAACGGAACATCCGAAAAAATCACTGTAGATTTATATATTAGTATAGATTAGATGAAAATTCAATGTGTCTTAGTTGAGAATTATTAAGATGAATCTAAAAGCGTGCATACGCTAAATTGCAGTCTTCAGAATTAATGTTGCAATCATGTTACGTGCTAACCTAAAGACAACCACAACCGTAAGGAAAATCAAGTTAATTAAAGAATGTATGTAGGTAGAAGTTTTTATTGTTGCTTTGCGAAACTAGATTCCTTTGATTAGTGATTTCTAATAGACAGTGAAAGCTAGAAACACAAATTGGTATTTAGCGTTCTCTATTATACACGGCGGCGTCATTTGTGACAGTTAAATGCTAAACAATAATGTAAAAGAAATTAATTTATACTAGAGGTCCCGCAGTAGTCGAAATTCGACTATAAATTAATTGGAATTGTAAGTTTGTACACTATTATGATTATATTTTATACTTCTATAATCACAAATTTCGCCAAGGCTACACTATAAAAAAATATTTATAAAGACAAACAATGTTTAATCTTTTCTCAATTTGACCACAGACGTCAAGAACAAAAGTTTGACAATAAATAGTATGCATGCGTGTGTGCGTCAAATACATGGTATGTAGTGTATGTAATGTTTTCTTTATTGATTTAATGTATCTTTTATGCATTATTTAAAAAAAATTTTAGCATTGTGCACTTCTTCTTTATATTCTTTAAGTGTGGAAAATTTCATACTCCTCCGTCCGCGCAATTATCGTAAAAAGGGATACAAAGTTTTTGCTTCACGTATTAATATATAGATTATTCAATAACATCAGAGTGTGGTTCGTTATGTTAATGTAATTTTAAAGACATCACTGTCCGCGGTAACTTCCTGGATATCATGTTTTTCTAGGCTTCAAACTGCCTAATCTGTAATGCGTGTACTAATTAGAATCACAATCGGCTTAGAGTCATTAAGATCAAATACTTAAAAGATATCGATAAGCAAAATTATTTCCTTAATTCTGTAGTGGTTTAAGGTTTATTATAAAAGTAATTAAATTGCGGCAAGAATTACGCTAACTTGTAGTTTGAATTTCCAAAAAAAATATTCAACGCTTATTAGTTACAATATATCTTTGTGGTTGTCTATACAGTAAAGATTGACCACAAAAGCATAGAAAGAAGTTTTCAGATTTTTAGCAACGTGAAATTATTATACGTGATTAAGTCATCATAAATTGGGAACGTAAATATATTAAATACACAATTGACGCTAGTAAAATGTGTATATGCGGATGCTATTCTCGATACAGTAATCATGAAAACTATATTTAACGTTAATGCATGATTGAAATTTTAATGAAACCGGGAAACTTTGTTTATGTTCGCAATTTATACATTTATTCTATTTCTGTTGTTCTGAAGTAGTAGTCATAATNATCATAAATTGGGAACGTAAATATATTAAATACACAATTGACGCTAGTAAAATGTGTATATGCGGATGCTATTCTCGATACAGTAATCATGAAAACTATATTTAACGTTAATGCATGATTGAAATTTTAATGAAACCGGGAAACTTTGTTTATGTTCGCAATTTATACATTTATTCTATTTCTGTTGTTCTGAAGTAGTAGTCATAATTGGACTTTGTAACCATAGTTTCTGTGCATTTAAAAAATTAGATTATGTATTAATTATGTAAATGATGTATAAAATGGCTAATTTCATTTTATACCTAGGTTTAAATTAAGTACAATTTTAATTAAAATTGTAATTAAGAAACTGGAAATTTAAATATTTTTTTCAGAAAATATTTGTGAATCATTTTATTTCTGTATGAGTCGATTTTCGTAATTTTAGGAGGTTTATAGTTTTTTTAATAATACTATACAATAATAATAATGTAATGTACTCGTGGATCTGTGCATTCTTCTTTTTGTCTTCACCTTATCCCACTAGGTCGTAGGTCGGCACAGCTAATTTTTTTATTTCATTCTCTTCTATCAGCCGTCAGCTCAACACTCACTTGTCTCTCTCTCTCATATCCTCATTCACACACTCTTCGGTCGACCTCTTCCCCTTCTACCTTGCGCTACCATTTCCATACATCTCCTAATCACATGCATCTTCTCTCTACGCATCACATGTCCATACCACGCTAACCGTCCGCTCTTTCATTTCTTAATTACCGGGGCTACTTTCACCCTTCTTCTGATATACTCATTCCTTATCTGTGTATGGGATTAAAATATTTTCTCCAAATCGCATTTTCTAGGGAGGTAATAGAGAAATACGAATAAAAAGACCACGTCTCCCTCTAATTTATTGTGGTAGCTTGAGCGATGACTCGTTGTCCAGTTTTCACACATGATTTGCGGTAGCGATGTTTATTTAGGTCTGGTTTCATTGAGGCTTGAAGCAGCAATCGCTACGCACAAAAAAATGCGTAGAACGCCCTGTGTTTACGACAATATTTTTCGCGATTTGAACGTTGTATTCCCTTTTTTTCCTACCTAAGCTGATAGCCTTGAGAGGCTTTTTCAGCGTAGCCTTAACTAGTAGGTGAGCTCACGGAGCTGAAACCTGACGACGTTGCTTCGTAGAACCTACCACCGGATCGGAAACGCAACCCACTGAGAAGATCCGGCGAGAAACTCAGTGGGCTGTGTCTGTGGGTTAATTTACTCGTTGAGCCCTTCGTCGCAAGCGACGGGTTCGACGAGAACGATGACCGGCGCTTGAGGTACCTAAATGCACCGTTAGTGGATCGGGAGGATCCGAAATGACGTGTTTTGGGCGACGTCGATTGCTTTCCATTCTGTACGCAGGATCGGGAATGTGTATTCCCTCTGACGAATATAAAAGACAAGTCGCCAATCTTGAGCACTCCCGAATACAGTTCTACCTAAAATCTTTCGTCTTTAATATCACTTGCGGCTTACTAATGTTGGAGGAATCCTGTTAAAGCAATCAAAATGTTGTTACTCATTCGACCTGCTGTTTTTGTTTTCGTATCGACCGTAGTCATCGGAGATGCACGGTTCCGTTTTGGCACGTTGCCAGGGGATTTCGTGGGCCCGCCGGTGTTTCACGCGTTCGTGTCGCTAAACTACGACGACGAGGTTATACGGTTTTAGGGAACGCGTTTTTAAAGAAACCACACCCGACATCAATTTTTAAGATCGCATAATTCTCTTAACAACTCCCATTTGCGTCTCGCTGCCAATTATTTTGGAAAGGATTAGAGAGTTCTAGATCTTAAAAAAAATTGGTTTCATTACAAATACGTACTTTTAAACCTGCCCTGGTGAAACTGGAAAGGCCTTTTGGCCACCAGTAATCCTTCTTTCATAAAAAATGTAATTAAAAATTATTAACAACAAATAACTTATTAAGACGGGATGCGTTGTGAGCTGGTATGAATGGATCAGTACAATGTACATATCTACCTAATAATGTTAGGACAATTTCATATTTTAATTCAAAAGGTTCGAAACAATTGAAAATTTCTGATCCTTTTGCATTGAGTATTATTTATGGTTTAAATGTTGAAATATATCAGAGTTTCAGTACACAGTATAAGATGTGCCTTGTATGGGTCAGAGTGGTTCGCAGATGAGCAAGCTACAATTTGTTTTATTTTATTCACAGACAGGCCGTAAAGCCTTTATCAGGATCGGCTCCGTCAGTCCGCGTGTCGGCACTGGGCTCTGTATCCGGGAATGATGAGACGAAAGACAGCAAACAGCCCAGCAAGGCGCGGCAGAAGAAGTTCCAGAGGCACTTCCCGCAGGTCGGACCAGAGGAGAAGGTGCTCAATTGTAAGTTGTTGTTGGAACGAAGTTCCTTATGGGATGATGCGAAGGGGTAACCTTAACCAGGAAAAAACGTCCGTAACGTAAGATTTTTTCCATTTAGTTTGTTATCAACAGATGCACGTAAATTCAATAATTCCTGAATCGCGATGACGAGATGTTACACAGTTTATAGACGTTCTCGTATTTCTCTTGCTAAATCATAATCACCTGGCGTACCTAGGGGATATGCAGGCGGTTCCCACAGGGCGAGGCTGCCCCATTGCACTGCAGCGTGGTTGACCCTTGCGATTATTTTTATTTTTATCCATAAAAAAATCAGAATAAAAAATGTATACCCCAATAATTATTTTCTTTCTACCTCGAATAGAACTTAAAATTAATATTTTTATAAGAAGGAACTTCGGCCCAATCCGGTGTCCCACGACACCACACATCTTTTTTTTCCTTTTTAAATATAGTTGCATAGTTCTTTTTCAGGGGTTAAATTTCCATTTACGGGTGCCATTCGAGGGCAACTCTCTTTGATGCAGGCCTACCCTATCTTCTAGGTTCTACTTCCACTCAAAGCTGTGGAGTCACTTTTCTTTGACAACGATCATTTGAAAGATGACATTAAGCTACCTCACTTGTTTGTTCACGAAATGTATATGCGTAGTCGGATCTATGTATATCAATGTCTTTATATTCTCTGATTCGTAGTTTATTTTTTATTTTTTGCGCGAAAATAAATAATTATTCTTTTTCGATGTCGGTCACTCTGATTTTGGCCTTGCAGAATATATTAGAGGGAAATAAAATAAAAATAATACGTAAAAATAGCCACAGCAATAAGAAAGTAGTAACATATTTCTAATTTATGTATTTAATTTACGATTGATACATAAAATGAACCAAAATACACGTATTTTTGTTAATAATTACTGTAGACACATAGTAATGGCCCAAGTATGTGGTGGAGTTTAGTTACAAGTGCCAAGTCCGATCCAGTAACGGTGCTTTTAGGCACCACAAGCACCGGTCACCGTCCTCGTCGAACCCGTCGCTTGCGACGAAGGGCTCGACGAGCGAATTAACCCCTAGACACAGCCCACTGAGTTTCTCGCCGGATCTTCTCAGTGGGTCGCGTTTCCGATCCGGTGGTAGATTCTGCGAAGCACTGCTCTTGCTAGGGTCAGTGTTAGCAACTCTCCGGTTTGAGCCCCGTGAGCTCACCTACACACGTTAGGGTGAAGCTGAAATAGCCTCTCAAGGCTATCAGCATATATATAAAAAAAAAAAAAAAAAAAACAAGTCCCATTCATAGCTAAAGGTAAGAAACAATAATGTAAAATCAAACTTTAAAAAAGAATTTTTAGATTTGCCAATTTATTTCTATAATTTTTGTATTAAACATCGTAAATCTTTTCACTTCTCTTACCACTGATTTTTCCCTGAATAGCTCTCTGAATTATTTTTCTTATGACATGAACGACTGTTGTACCACAACTGTTGTCGATAAATTTAAGTAGGTACTGTAGGACAGGTAAAAGTCACAAAATTTACGATTGTTTCAAAAGTCATAATCGAAAAACCATAGTAGTGATTTCAAATCGAAAACTTCATATAGGGGCGTGGTCAACGGTATCATGTGATTTGGTCATCTGTTTTTGCTGTTATTTTAGATAACGGGCTCAGGAAACATTTAAATAAAAGTATATAAGCGTAGCGGTGTCTTTCTGCGGTTTCACTATAATAAAAATAACTAAAACACACTAAAAAAAATGTTAAAACTTGAGTTAAGCATAGCAAAATAATTAATATCATTTCGCCAGATTTAAATGTTTGATAAAAATACTAGTAGTTATGTTTTTTTGTCGTTTGTTTTTGTGGATCAATTCCTAGCCTTGCTGATAAAAATAATGTCGTCTATATATGTAAAAGTTCATCACAACCATCTAAATCTTGAAATAGAGAAATCTAACTTTAATCGGGTCGAGACATATATCATCTTTTTCCTTTCCTATCCTCCTTTAAAATTGATTAATCCTTTCAGATTATTCGTGTGCACTTGTCGGCGATCTCCTCCTGCAAGGTCACCTGTACATCACGAAGAACTACTTCGCTTTCTACTCGAACGTGTTCGGTTATGTTACCAAGGTGAGCTAGTTTGTGAAATTCTCGTGTAACATTCGATTAGATTTTTGTTCGGCGATTATACTTGTAAATAATGGCGTTGGATTGCTTAGGCGATTGTAGATGGGTGGACGAGCTCACAGCCCATCTGGTGTTAAGTGGTTACTGGAGCCCATAGACATCTACAACGTAAATGCGCCTCCCACCTTGAGATTAAGTTCTTAGGTCTCAAGTATACTTACAACGGCTGCCCTACCCTTCAAACCGAAACGCATTACTGCTTCACGGCAGAAATAGGCAGGGCGGTGGTACTTACACGTGCGGACTCACAAGAGGTCCTACCAGCAGCTAGTTTCGGTAATCGATTTTTTTAGCATGATCTCCAAGGTAAATTTCGAGAATGATCGATTGGTGACCTGCTTCCAAGCGTGCTCCTGCGGTCCAACAATATTATCCTACATAAAACATTATTATATATAAACATAATTTAACGTTTCATGCTCCGTATTAGTTCTGCATTTGGCTTATCGGTACAGTTATTAATAATATTAAATGCTTATTCGTTTTAATATCAAAATGTGCTAACGAATTCGAGAAGCATGGCTTCAACATGTTTTTCACTATCGATTTGCTCTGAAATTTCTGTGTCATATAAATGAATGTACGTGATAGAAATATGTACATACAAGCTTACGGCAGATCTGTACTATAATTGAAAAATTGAAACAAGAGATCGAAGTATCAAATGAATGACCATCTTAATTCTTTAAGCTGAAATTGGCAGAAATCAGCAGGACGGTTGGTACCTAGCAAAAAGGCAGGTCCAAAAAATCCTCAACTTCTTTATTGATTAGAATATTCTTTAATAAAGGTTTTGTCTATTCAACAGTGTAGTGTCATAGATTTGGATACAGGCCAAGGTGATAAAAGCGTGTTAGTGAAACAAAAAAAAAAAACGCTCGTATATCGAAAAATGGATACGATTTCGTAAATACGTAATATCTGAATATCGTGAAATGGAAGTGACCAAACCTTATAATAGCATAAACACCCACCCACAAAACAACAAAATTTTAGGAATACGAAAGAGGCACGTTAAAACAGCACGTGTTTTGGTAATCTCCTTTAAGGATTACCAAACATTACAGAAACTGGAACGTACTGTGTTTGACCTAAAAGTACGATTTAACATTGAGTCTATAAAAATTCTACTGAATATTTTACCAGTTATAAATGTTATTATATAGCATATTGGGTTTTACCCATAAGATCCCATTTTTATGGATTACACGGTATCTAAAGTGTTTCAATTCAAGACCGAAGTATAATAGTCGTAGCAATGATATTCTAGGGAAGATAAGCTCTCCAGTGCTCATTAAAATGGGCCTCAGATATGAAGATGCCCTTTTTTCGATTGCTTACATGTGCGAACAAGAACGGTTCGCTTGATTTAAATTGGCTACCCGAGTCTATAGCTATCACAACGTGAATGCCGACACACACCTTAAGAAGACATGAGATCGAAGTTTCCATAGTATTGCAGGGGTTCTATCCATGAAACAGCATGAGTTTTTAGCTGTCATAGTACAGAAGATATGTTATCAATGTGTGCACTAATGACATTTTCAAGGTTAATTTGCATATAAACGAGTTTCGAACAATAACATTCGGTCTACCGAACAATTTGAACCGCTCGTTGGAAGATCTTCCCTTTACCGATTATCCCCAAATGGGCTTCGCGGCAGTTATGGTCAGGATGGTGGTATCTACTTATGCTTGTAGACAGGCGCACATTACATACTACCAGTAGTTATGCAAATTAATAAAATCCGCGTGCAATTTTAGTCACACGATGCTTCATCGCGAATTTCGTTCGTGAGTTCATGCTAATAGAGCAAGAGCCAGTAACGGCCAGACCTCGTTATTTTATAAAAGCTGAAAGTTTCTCTGAGTATGTCTCCAACACAGGTAAGAACGACCCGCGACTATAGATTTCGATTGTGATTGTTTGCGATAGTGTTCTTTAACGAATTTAAGGTACTATTTTATATAACTTTACTGCCTGTTGCCTGTCCAAGTAACCTCTGTTCTTGCCTTTGTTGGAGACATACACAGAGAAACTTTCAGCTTTTATAAAATAACGAAGGTCTGGCCGTCGCGGGCTCTTGGCCTATAACAGAGAACTGTCAACAAAAATATGGCTGGAAGATTTGAATCTCGATATAGTCGCTTGATTTGAGGCACTGAACGTCTCGTCATTTAGACTACGACGTCTTCTTTAGTAGACGACTTTAGGGGTATGGTAAAGTTATTAATACAGAAGATATCACTACTGGCTACTGGTGGTAGGACTTCTTGTGAGTCCGCACGGGGTGGTACCACTACAACCCCGCCTATTTCTGCCGTGAAGCAGCAATGCGTTTCGGTATGAAGGGTGGGGCAGCCGTTGTAACTATACTGAGACCTTAGAACTCATATCTTAAGATGGGTGGCGGCATTACGTTGTAGGTGTCTATGGGCTCCAGTAACCACTTAACACCAGGTGGGCTGTGAGCTCGTCCACCCACCTAAGCAATAAAAAAAATATCACTACTCCTTAGACCGATGGTATCAGGTCGCAAATCTGTATCTCCTTGTGAGTATCTAGTTAAACTATTATCATACTTTGTCTTTGATACTTCTTTAGTATTTATTTTTGGATGTTCAATTTAAAGAGTATCTTTTGGTTGCTAGTTTCTTAAAACTTATAGAATGTGATGCGAGGCTAATTAATACAGAAATAATTAAACACGTCGTATTTTCCCGGGACAAGAAGTTGCTTGTGTCGCTCTCTGTTCGTTAAGCTATTGGTACGGAAGATCACGAACCAACGTATCCACCATCGTATTCATGATATAATAACACATATGTATATATTACCCGGAATTTCCCGGAACCTATCATTGTGCAATGATAAAAGCTATCTCATGTGCTAATCCAAGTAATAAACGATGCTTATGCCAAATTTACAAACATTATATTAGTATATAGGTGTTTCCAATGAGTCATAGTGAAAGTGATAACAAATATAATTGTCACAATGGACTTCGGATGGACAAGCGGTTCAAAGGCTGTCGAGTGCACGTTACTTCATAATATTTATATTAATGCGCCAATTACGTCCGCGAAAAGGTAGCTATGATCCATCATGACAATAGAGGTTTACATCAAGCGCTGGTCCACTAAACCCCCCCTCTCTCTGACTTGGCTGTCATGTTAATAAACATAACATAATAAATATGAAAGATCTTGATCCGTAACCTGTTTCACACTGACGCATTTATTGACCTTCACTTTATGTTACAAATGACTCTTGCAAGATTTAGTATTAATTTTATAAAATGACGTAGAGATTTGTTCTGTTCAAAACCTAGTCTTTGTTCTATGTGTCCAATTAGTTTTTATTATTATAAATGTAGCAGCGGGGCTTTGTAATCAGGGTTTTTTAAGTTTAAGTTAAGTTTTTCAGTTTATAATTTATGCATTATTATATTTAGTGATAAAATCCAATGCAGATACAATAAAGAAATGTTGAGAATATTTTGAAATTTTCAATTCTAATATATTTTTGATGGACAATTAAATTGGTCCTTCCCAATGAAGTGTTGTTTTTAGACTTAATAGTCTCAATAATGATGTAAGACGTTTGTCACGAAATTGGTAGCGTGCTCTTTTCCCCCACCTATTAGCTGATAGCCTAAAGGATTATTCCAACTAGTTTTCTCAAATACTACTTAAATGGCATCTGTTTCGAAGATATCGAGTCCACTTAGTTTTTCGCTGGATCTTCTCAGTGGGTCGCGTTTCCGATTCGGTGGTAGATTCTGCGAAGCACTGCTTTTGCTAAGGCCAGTGTTAGGAATGCTCCCGGTTTGAGCTCCGAGAGCTCACCTACGCGATAGGGTAAAGCTGAAATAGTCTCTCAAGACTATCAGCGGAGACAGGACAAAAAATATATCGAACAACATTCAAGCACTGGTCACTATTCTCGTCGAATACGACGAAGAGTTCGACGAGCGAACTAAACCACAGATACAATCCACTGAGTTTCTCGCCGGATCTTCTCAGTGGGTCGCGTTTCCGATCCGGTAGTAGATTCTGCGAAGCACGGCTCTTGCTAGGGTTCGTGTTAGCAACGTCATCAGGTTTGAGCCCAGTGAGCTCACCTACAAACGTTAGGGTTATGCTGAAATAGCCCGAATTTAGGTAGGAAAAAAAAAGCCAACCGATTTCGTTGTTTTTATAAGTGTACATTAATTTGTTTTGGAATATCTTTTTATTTATTTTTTCTATTTGAAGTCGGTTTTTGTTAAAGCATGTCTGTTTACAATTATAATTTCAGTTACTGATCCCAACGACATCGGTACTACGCATAACGAAGGAGAAAGTGGCCCGTATAATACCGAATGCGGTCGGCGTGTGTACCAGGGATGAGCGACACGTGTTCGGGTCGCTACTCTCGCGGGACTCTACGTACAAACTGATGATGCACGTGTGGAAGACGGCCCGGACACCAGAGCTGGCCGTACCTAAAGCACAGGTGAGGATGTTGCTTGATTCTAACTCGCTTAGAATATTAGTATCGATTAAATAGATTATGAAGTATCGATTAAAAACGTCACTAAACAATTTATTCACAAATCGAGAAAAATAATTATAGGTTATGCAGCTAATTAAGTATTCCATTAATACAACTGTGTGCTTAGTGCGAGTTTTTTAACTTTCTCGATAGCGAAAAAGTTAATTCAAATTTGTATGGAGTTGGAACGGTTGCCTACGTTTGCCGCTAGGGGCGCTGTTCCAACTGCATACATATTTGAGTTAACTTTACGCTGTCGAGAACGTTAAAAAACTCGCACTAGACACACTGTATCCGACTTGTAGGTTTAAAAAAAATTTGATTTTAAGCTGATAAGCAGTTGCTGACATTTGAATTGATTTTGGATCACATTCAGCTATTGTATATTCTAAAAGCGACGATATGTCAAATAATAAATAACTGGGAACAAATCACGCACGGTCATTCTGCCCTAAATTAGGATTCCCTGTGCTATACTTACCAGAGATATACATAGGTACTTTTTAATATATAAATATACAATAAAAACCCCGACTTAGGAAAAAGCAAACAAACCTATTCATCACACGAATATTTGCCCCATGTGGGAATCGAACCCACGACCCTCTGTCCAATAGTCAGGGGTGTTAACTACAGCACCATCGAGTCAGCGTTACCTTAAAAACTTTACTCAAATTTGTATGGAGTTGGAACAACTTTCGTTCGTTTGCCGCTAGGGGCGCTGTTCTAACTCCATACAAACTTGAGTTATCTTTTACGCGATCGAAAAGTTAAAAAACTCGTACTAAGCACACGATAACATTTTGTTTAGACGACTTTGTCTGCTTAATCGGGCGAAGGAACCGGTACACGAAAAGCGATCCGATGCTACGGACCGGAACGTGTAATTTTGCGGCTAAAACTACAAGTCCAGCGGTTTCAGACCGCAGTGAAAACGTCACTTTCCGGTTAATTTATAACAATCGACTAACTGTTTATTCGTAGAGATTTAGATAATAACCTATTTTCTCTTTAGACAATTTCGTTTTAACTTTAAAAATGGAAAAAATATTTTTTTTTTTTTGTTGGGCGTTGTGTCTAATTTGTAATAAATAATAACCAATAAGTATCCTTCTCAAAAATGTGTAGCGCATATATACACAAGGTAGTTTTCTATTTTATCAGCAACAGAACAAATATAGCCTAACCTTGACGATCCTTTAATTTGACATATCTGATCACGAGAAATACGTTAGTATTTTCTTTCGATTCTCGCCAATCGTAGACATAATTAAAACTGCTTTTACGGTTTAATCGCGTATTCTGTGCTTCGAATGCTTTACAATTTTCGTGGTCACGGTCGTCCGTGAGATTGAACCGTATTAAATAATTTAAATTGAAAATAGTGTAAAAATATATATATATATATATTTGATTGTAAAAAAGCGTGATTTAAATTTATTAAAATATATTTTCTATTTTTTAGTTGAATTTTATATAAAGCGTGTTTTTTAGTTTTTTTAAACTATTATTTATTTTTCATTTTTTAGTAAAATTTTTTTGCAAATTGAATAATGGAACAATCTTGTCAAATTAGTGTATTGTCATAGGTCCTCGATAAATCTACAAAGTTTGAATGAAATCTGCCCGTTTAAAGTGGGTCAAAATCGCGTCTAAAGGAGTCAGTTATAAACATACATACAAGTTAAGCTAATATAAAGCGTGTAAAAATGGTCTGAAAATGTTCCATTCCCATATTTGTTCTTACTCTTGCTAGGTTAGATGTTAGCGTGCTCGACGAAGCCAGTCTCACTCGAGGTTACAGGCAGCGGGTAGGAAATAAAAAAGTTAACGTAAATCTAAAATTGGAATAGACTTTCCGTTTTTTTTTTTCTAACAATTGGCCGAGAACAAAATTAATAGTATTATATAAAGGCCGACCTACTTATAAAGCCACAATGATTCTTTCACGACAATTATAGGCAATGCGGTGCGATGTTGCCGTCATCTCGTATAGTGTCTTCATTTCACGAAACGTTTTGTTAAAGGACCCGCGCGCATCCGAGGTTGACTTTGAAGCCTCCGAATACTCCCCCGAAGATGACAGCAGTTCCGCTGGAGGCGATCAAGTGGACGCTCCCGCTGCCGTGAGAAGAGAATCCGAAACTATACTACCCACAGGTATGTTTTCCATGTATTTAATGCAACTAGTGGTCCCCTAGTATTCGAAATTCGACTATAATTAATCTAAATTATAAGTTTGAACGTTATTATGGTTCTATCGTCAGACTATTTATTATACTTCTTTAATCACAGGTTTCGCTAAGACCACACTATAGACAAATAATATTAAATACCAACAATATTAATCTGTTCTCAATTAAACCACAGACTTTAAACAATAACAAAAGTTTGACAATAAACACAGTATATAGATGTTTAAGTGTGTTGTGTTAAATATATGGTAGTATGTGTATTGTTTTTTTACTGATTTAATGTATTTTTATGCATAATTACACAAAAGATTAACATTCTGCACTCCTTCTGTATATTCGCTATAAGTGTGTGAAATTTCATACTCCTCTGTCCGCGCAATTTCCGTAAAAAGGGTTACAAAGTTTTTGCTTCACGTATTAATTTATAGATAAGCCAGCGGCTCTCAACCTTTTTTTATTATCACTAAAATACGATATACCAAATCGCGACAACCTTACATGCAAAATGCATTTATTAAATTATAAATAAATAATATATTAATAGTAGTTAGCGTATAATAGTAGGTAAACAACTGCGTATATTTACCATGTAAGTCCTTGTATTATCTCGGGTTCCATAGAATATCGTATTTGTAAATCTCGCGACGCAATTAACAGGAAATTGTGACACACTAATGTTTCGCCACTGCTATAGCTAGACGAGCGAACCGCCAGACTGACGGTGGGTCATCGCCTAAAAACATCGGCGATTCCGGTCATTAAACCTCGTTTGCATTATGACATGTCCTATCGCGAATAAACTCTGTAGTCTGAAAACAGTTCGATCAAGATTTTCAATAGACGAGACGTGGGATATACGAATGTATCATTGTTAAATTGTTCGTGACAGAAATTGACATAACACGCGCTAATTAGACGAACGAGTGTTCGGTCAATGATCGAAATTCGACCATAATAATTGATAATAACTATGTTTCTCGCCGGGTCTCTGTGGGTCGCGATTCCGATCCCGTGGTAGATTCAGCGAAGCATTGTCCATGCTAGGGTTAGTGTAAGCAAGTCCCCAGGCTGAGCCCCGTGGGCTACACGTCCATTGCACCTAGGATAACCCCTCGAGGGGCTACGAGCATTGAGAGCAAAAAAAACATTCGGCGACAGACCGATCAGTTCATCAACACTCGCTCTGCGGTAGAATCTTATAAATATAATCGTAATATAATCGACAACATTAATGTGATGAATGAACATGATGGTTAAAGTCTGTATATATTTTTATATTTCATACAAATTGGTGCGACTTTATATCGGTTAAATCGTATCCCTTTGTATCGATCGAACATCTCTAGTTGTCACACTGACATTTTCTCATGCATGAAGTTGTCCACGAGAGATTTTCATTTGTCAAATCGTTGAGTTTTTTTTTGTCTAAAGGTGCGGCAGTCATACAGCCGGCTTTACTTACCGGCAGCAGCACGCCGAAGCGTCGCGCGACACACTGCTGGCAGTTCCTGCTCGTGGCCGCTGTCGTGCTGCTCGCGCTGTCCGCACTGCTCCTATCCTACAAACTCTACCAAAGCAAATATGCGCAGGTAAGGTCTACTCTTCCTATTCGTACACTTTTGACAGAGTGGTCGTGGTCATGCATCAGTCGGATCCTGCGATACCGATGCTCTCGCGATGCGACGCCATGTGACACGATGTTTCGCAGAGTGAGAGCAATCATATCGTTTCATATTCAGAAAACGATTTTTATATTCTCACCCAGGTTTAAGAGAAATGTTTTTTTCTGCAGCTAAAATTGAGTTGTTAATTGTTTTCTTCGAAATCAATAATCGCTCTCATAATTATTTACAGTATTAAATAAGTTAATTGTGGTTAATGTTGCTAGAAATAAGCCCTTACGTACATTTTATTATTATCATATCTTCATAATAATAATAAAATGAAATGAAAATCCGGAATCCGGGAACGATATTGTTGTTGTTGTTTTTAAATTCACCAATGCCTACTTGCAAAGAGCGTAGCCTATACAGCCTAGTCTGTCGAAGTTATATATTTTTTATGTCAATAAAAAGCCGGTGTATCTCTTTTTATTGTTTTTTGGGAGTTTTGACGTCAACTCGACGAATACCACATTGACTGAGCATGAGCTTACGCAGACCTTTTATACACAATATTACAAATACAAATAATACAAATTACACAATAAACTATTAAAAAAACATTAAAATAAAAATTCAAGTGACGCTTCACTCGGCCAAAACTCTCTGATCATATATAATAAGAATAGAGTAATGGTAGGCCATTGATATTTTTACTAATGGAATCATTAATATCTAAAAATATTAAATAATTCATTTTTTTAAGTAATAATAATTATTAAAATATATAAATATTGAATTGAACAAAAATAAACTAAGAAGCCTGTGAATTATAAGCATTAGCTATTTTTTTTAATTTGTTGTTCAAGTCACAAACAACTCTTTCGTTTGACAGCATATAGGTTTGCTATAAGGCTGTATGGGCTAAGCCCTTTGCCTATTGGCGAATTTAAAAACTATGGCATGGATAGTTTTGGGATGTTATCAATTAAGTAATTTATTTTTTTGGAAAACAATGCCAGATTGAAAGAAATGTTGATACATAAACTAAACAACGTGAAAAAATAAGGCATAGTTTTTCAAGTACAAATAGTTTTGACATAAAGTTGGCCCACTTTTGGGCATTGTCCTTTATAAAAGATTAGGCTGTATGGTATGATACCTTTGCCTTTCCAATTGGTAAATTAAAACTGCTACTACTACTAGAGTTTACTAGACGTACCTTGTTAAAGACAAGGTATAAAATTACTTGTGAAATGCTTGAAGAAGCATTGTTTCGTCCTATTACGCTATCCCACATAAATACAGTTATACTTATAGTACCCAGGAACAGACGAGATTCTAGTCTGTCTATTTTGACGCGACTACTGGAGTTTGCACCGCCACCCAGTTTTAAGACGTGAGATTGAAGTTTTGGTTAGCGTTAGCAGTAAATCTCTGTACAGTGCGTAGGTTGAAATCGATTTTTTCTTTTGTTACAAAGGAGGAGGACCTGACGAATCTAACCGGAGACGAGCTGTATTCGGAGTTGGTCCGCTGGAGGCAGAGGCTGCACGGGCGGGCCGCTGACGAACTCCACTCATTCCTCTCCACTAATCTATTGTTACTTACTAAGGTGAGCTATATATTTTACGTCGATATATTTTACGATAAGACGTCAGGTGCATTCGTATGTAGCGATGCATCGGTGTTCGAATCCCGCCGGCAAGTACCGATTCTTCCAATGATACGTACTTAACAAACGTTCACGAATGACTTCCACGCTGAAGGCAGATACAAATTTTTGAAATGAAATGAGTACTTAACAGATATTTACGATTTACTTCTACGGTGAAGGAATAGCATCATGTAATAAAAATTAAACCCGCAAAATTATAATTTGCGTAATGACTCGTGGAAGAATCTCTTGTGAGTCCGCACGGGTAGGTACCACAGCTCTGCCTATTTTTTCCGTGAAGCAATAATGCGTTTCGGTTTGAAGGGTGGGGCAGCCGTTGTAACTATACTGAGTTTCTCAATCTTTTCAGTGGGTCGCGTTTCCGATCCGGTGGTAGATTCTGCGAAGCACGGCTCTTGCTAGGGTTCGTGTTAGCAACGTCGTCAGGTCCGAGCCTCGTGAGCTCACCTACTAGTTAAGGTTACGCTGAAATAGTCTCTCAAGGCTATCAGCTTAGGTAGGATAAAAAAAAACCTTAGAACTCATTTCTCAAGGTGGGTGGCGCATTTACGATGTAGATGTTGGGCTCCGGTAAGCACTTAACACCAGGTGGACTGTGAGCCCGTCCACCCCTATAAGCAATAAAAAAAATACTGCTGTTCAAACCTGGAACACTCTGTTGCCGAAATTTGATCTGGTCGATGCTAATGCACAAGAACACTGGCTGGGACAATATGAAACTTGATGAAAAGTTCATCCAAATAGGCCCAACCATTTAGGAGTCTACAGGAACCACAAATAGATTTTTATATAAATATATATCTTTAATATTGCTAAGGCTGGTGTTAGGAGATTTCCTCGGTTTGAGCCCCCGTGAGATCGTCTACCCGCTCGTGAGTAATTGTAATTGCCCCTTAGGCTACTATTTGTTATGAAAAAAAAAAACATTTCAGATTGACCGACAAAATGGTTAAATGGTTACTTCACATGTATCACAATTTTGGTGAAACCACCGTTCCGACAAGTTCCAACAGATCATGGCTTGCCGTTAAATATCTTGGTATCTACCCACATCGGATAACAATATGGTTTATTAAGTGTTTTTATTGTAGATATATTTATTTTCAGGTACGACAATCTCTAGAAGCACTCTCGGGTGTTATTGTCGACGACTTGCCTCCGCAGGACCCAGCTCGAGTTGTTCTGGACGTTCCAAACGATACGGCGTTTAGTTAACGCTTAAGTACGACAGAAAATTTCCATTAAGTAATTTCCAGAGACAGTCAAACTCTAAATTGATTTCATTGAGGATTTAACAAGGCATAATTTTGTTTAGACTTTTGGCATTGGACAAGTTTGATCTCAGGTATAGGGTGAGGTTTTTTGTGAGTACGCTGAAAATGTATAAAAGAATATAGATTAAAAAAAAAATCAATACAAAACTAGAGTTAAAAAAAAAATTGGTTTTTAATATGAATTCGTAAAGTAGATACTACATATTGTAGAATTTTATTTACATTTACACAGTGTTCACAGTGTCGACCAGAATTATATTTAATATAAAACTAAATGAAAAAGTTAATTATTGTAAATATGCCATTTAAAAATAACACATTGAGCTCAATCGTTGTTGTAGCATTTGTTAAAATATTCACGAATGTCTCATATTGTGCACGTGAATCGATGTTTAGAAATATTTTAAAGACTTGAAGAATGAATGTAATGTCAAAAGTGACCAATTTGAACCACTATAGTTCTAGAATAATTTTAAATTAGATTTCGGAAACATTCGAATCGATAGAAAGGCCCTTTAGAAACTACCAAAAAGTTTTACACAACTTTTAGTAAATCGATTGCTTGACATATCGTTAATATTTCACGTTATTAAATAGTTTGTGGATGAACACACAAAATTAATTAGCAATCTATTATGAGAAAATATCGGAACGTATTATTATCGATCATTGTATTTAAATTTAACTTTTTTTTAAATGTCGGGTCTGTATGACGATTCTACGTCACGTTTTGTGTAAGACACGACAATAATATAGATATGTAATTATACATAGTAAGAAATATAAAACTAACTTGTCATTAATGAAATTCTAATTTTTTTATAACATGTCTATGAAGTGTAAAAATGAGACGGATAGTCATGTTGTTTTATCGATTTGAATTAGCATTTATTTTTATTACCCAATTTTGTATTAACGCGTCCGTATGGTTTGTCTTTTCGGGTAGACCCTTATAATGTATTCAAAGTGTCTTTCTGATGAGATAGACTTGTAATTTTGAACATAGTTCAAAATCAGACGGCGACGTAAGAAAATGCAGCTGAACATGAAGTTTTGCATTGTTTCCACTTAGTAAGAATATTCTGTCATGATATTCTCAGTTAGGCCTAAATGCTCGTTAAAAAATCATAGATCGTTCTAATACTTATGTTTTCTAAATATAAAATAAATCTAAAATAATATACAAATAGTAGATAATAAATATTACACATCTGTGTACAGTAAATATAATATAATTCCATACGTAGTTTAAATTCCGTTGCTTAACCGCACGCTTCACAGTGATGTTATATTGACAGCTGTCAAGTGAATGCATAAGTCGTTGCATAAAATGTCAGGATATTTTTGCTCGTAAATTACAATTCCCATTAATAAGTGATTAACCCAATTATCAATGAAGTTTGGAAGGGAAGTGGTGCTAATTACTATCAAAGTAAAAATGATAATTAAACATTCCTTTAACTTGCAGTGTACGCGAACATTTGGCATCTGTCCTGTTTACCGGTTATTTGTGTTATTTATGTATTTCATTAAGTAATGAAATCAAAAACATTGATTTTAATCTTGTTATATTAATTATTACCTTCTATGTGAATGCATTAGGAAGATAAAAAATACACTTTAAAATTAAATAAGTAAGGTTCAGAATAAAGTTTTTATAGTAGATACAGCTAGAGTACTTTAAAAATAGTGCAGAAAGAGACATTACTCAAAAGTTTCAGTTAAGTCGGTGATGTTAATTTAATTTTGTGAGCATGTGTTTTGTGTACCAAATTTAATGGAATTGTATTTTTTTTCTTATTGTAATTTTTTTGTTTTCTGCTTACAGCTGGATCGTAAATAAAATTCTAGTCTTTTAACATTAACATTATTTATATATTTTGTTGTTGAAATTAGGTGTACTTACTTACAGTTTATTTTTATTTTTATATAGATAGTTGTTATTCTTTATAATGAGTTCAAAAATTAATTTTGCAGTGCAATGATTTCAGAAATATTTAATAAAATACTTGAAATTTGTCCAGTGATTGATAGATGTTTAAAATTTCGTATTTAGCAAAATGCACAGATTCCATAAATGTTTTAAGAAATGCTTGTGTATTTTGTGACCCTTAAAGTAATTATTGTTGATTTTTTTTATTTAGATTTTAGATAGGAAAAACTTTTTCGTAATTAAGCTTATGTTAACATTTATTGACTTACATTATTTTTAGTAATGATTTAACAGATTACTTAATTACTGTTTTTTGGTTTTAATAAGACATAGTATGATAATACTTGCCAATTAACGTAGTCATGTTTGTTAAATGCCTAACTGTAGGGTTACCGTTGGTGCCAAAGTTAGATCAAAAATTTCTTACTGACCACGAATATTATATTATTGAACTTTCTACTCGTCATGCTTGACTCTTAGAAATTTAAGATGCGAGCAAGAGGGGATGACAAGATTTAAGATATGTTTGTATTAACATCTGGTAGGAATTGCCAAAGAAAGAAATAAATAAATGAAAATAGCTTAAGTGTGATTTGTAGATAATTTACGTTTATCTGTCAATTTAAGTTTGTTAATTGATTTCATTATGAAATGCTGCATTATTTAATATTTATTTATGTTCGAGATAGCTGTTTTAGATGATTCTTTTAAGGTGCAATACACATAGACAACCAGTGAGATATATTGTTTAAAATGAATAAATAATAATTTAGTTTTGTTGAAAGTTTTTTTTAGGGTCAGTTAATTTTCTTAGATATATTTAGAAGCTTGTTTAAGAAGCAATTTTATATACATAATAATTATGTAAAGTAATTTTAATGATTATATATGAATGTAATCGTTTATGCTACCTTAGCTATTTGTTTACAGTTCGGAAATCTCGGGAAATCGATTAAGTAATCATTGTAACATCAAAAAAATAATAATTTATGTGTTTGAAAATATTTTTGGAGTGATTTAATATAGGCACATATTGGTTGATAGTTTATTTTCTGGGAATATTAGATCAATGAGCTCACCATTGCGTGGATTTTTTTCTTCTATCGGGTTGGAATTGTTAATGAATGTAAAATATCTGGTGATTTGTTTTGTATATTTTTGTTCGATTGTGATTCGTTTGTTGTAAATAAATAGATACATAAATGAGTTAATATTGAGTGTTTTATTCCTTCCTTCAATTTTCCTGTTCATGGTAATAATAATGGGATGAGATAAGAATTATCCATGATTTCTTACTATTTAAATCGATTAGGAAATTTTAGAAACGAATGCTCTCTCTTATTTGATCTATTATATATCTATCGATTAAATCGATTCGATTTATTATATCTATTATTAATCTCTATCTCGCTTTTTTCGTTACCTACGTTAAAGATAAGTGTCTTGGCTAAATATTAGGGGCTTGAGCATCTTAGAATTTATTAGTTATCGAAGCCCACGGATATCACAACGCGATTAACGTCTATCATTTTGCCTTATAAGAGGCCAAAGTTCCGATTATATTTTGTTAGCTATGCGCTCGCTACAACTCGCCACAAATTTGATAAATATTATAAAACTCGTGTACGATGTACATACCGTACGCACCTATATTTGAGAAGAGTTTAAGCCCTGAGTTTCTTTAATTTTTAATTTAGATTTTTCTTAATCATGAATCTGCATTTCGAATCAGTGATAAGGTTCTTCTTATGATCTGAACGTGCCTCGAAAAGCCTACTCCAATAAAAAAAAAGAGCGCGAGATGTTTTTTTTTTTTTTTTTCTTTTTTTTTTTTTCTTTTTTCCTACCTAATCTTGAGCCTTGAGCCTTGAGAGGCTATTTCAGCGGAACCTTAACTAGTAGGTGAGCTCATGGGGCTCAAACCTGAGGACGTTGCTAACACGAACCCTAGCAAGAGCCGTGCTTCGCAGAATCTACCACCGGATCGGAAACGCGACCCACTGAGAAGATCCGGCGAGAAACTCTGTGAGCTTTGTCTGTGGGTTAATTCACTCGTCGAGCACTTCGTCGTAAGCGACAGGTTCGGCGAGGACGGTGACCGGTGCTTGAGGTACCTAGAAGCACCGTTAGTGGATCGGGAGGATCCGAATTGGCGTGTTTGAGGCGACGTCGACTGCTTTCCATTCTGTCCGCAGGATCGGGAATGTAGTTACTGGCGGCCACGATGAGCGGGTTCTCGTGTCGTGCCGCTTTATCGAAGTGGTATGCTAAGCGCATGCGTTCTATGGTAGCGTTAAACGCTTAACGCACCCTTGTTGAGTCGCATTAGAAGTTTCACTTCAAAAAACTTCGTTTTCATAAATTACACTTAGCGCTTTTGAGGCTAAAGAGTATCGACATCCGAAGAAAATATTTTACTACTTTATTTAACAAAATTAATCATGACAATTAATCAATTTAATTCTTATAAAAACTTGAGCAATCATTCACTCAAGACTTGGCCAACAACGCTAGACGTATCGCTTGACGTGAGTCGTGAGTACACCGGGCGTCTTATCCTTAAGGCCACGAGTTTAATTATAATTTGGTTTGAGAATAAAAATATGTATTGCTACCACAGGGTGGAAATGCCACGTATCATTTGGTCCAGCACTAACTCACTGACCTCTTGCACGTTGCAGGCAAATAAAAATAGCACAGACAAGTTAGTTCTTTTTAATATTTATTTTAAAAAAAATAGCAACAGTAAATCAGTAACAATAATTAAAATTCATGACTTGGAAGAACATTACATAAAAGAATAAAGGTACTTAACAAGTTCATAAAATACCACATCGTATTGTTCATTTTACATGCCCCTTTTATAAAATTACTAGCAAATAGCTGTTTACGAAATTTTCTATTTTATAATTTCTGTCTTTTATAATATAAATTCCGGTTGTCAGAAATAAGTTCAAAAGAAATGTAGCCTATGTGCACTTCTGTTAAAGTAAATTATTAATTTTGTAAAATCAGTACGACTCTCTTCTGGTTTTGTATTTTCTTTAAGGCTGGGAGACAAACGTCCACTCACTAACACGACCACCAGCCATGCTATTAACAACATGACAAACTTGTAAAACAATAGTGCGCTAGCCGTGAGCTTTCGTGAACACTCAACGGTGCAAGCCGAATTACCAAATTGCTTTATTTTATCGAGAGACGCAAGATATAGAGACCAGCCAAGAGCAGGTTTGAGATGCGTTCAAATGAAATTTTTTTTCAAACATCGGACATTAGACACGAAATGCCTGATGATACATGGCCTCAATTTTTCATTGCAGCTATATTTCAAATGTTTTTGGGGTAGGATGTCTTTAAATAACTGACCTAGAAATTATTGATCAAGGTATGTCAATAATTTGAAGATAAAAAAACTAGACACGAAGTCATAGTGGATAATACAATCAAATTATGTTCCTCCTGTCTAAAAGTCACGTTAGACAACAGTAACTGATTTTCTACACTATTTAAAAAAGGAAATAGGAATAGGGCATCGAGTAGAGACCATAAGACAAATAGGCGATGTTTTCGTCAATACAAAGTGTTTTGTTTTTGCAAATTCCTTTTTTTTATATTCATACATAAATGACGACGTTGGAACCAGAGTGATTTAAGTGACATTGTTGCTAATACTGAGGTTATTACACAAAGGCATAGAAAAACCATAGTTCTTACATGCCACACTGATCTATGCGCTCTTCAGCGCTTTCTTCCTTGAGGGATCACAACATGCCACACTGATCTAAGTATGAGATGCACTTAGATCACTATGATCCCAATTTTACAACTGAGTTCTTAACGTTTATGGAAAACCAAAGCGATCTAAGTGCAATACAGAAACAATAAAAAATTATAATGTCATTTACCTCATTTTTTATACACTATCATATTTACGCCCAGACCTTTCAATGAACCGAATGTATGGACTTTTTAAAGCAAAATGTGAATTAAAAGGACAAACAAATTTGAAGAAAAGTGCTTACTACACCAAAATCTTTATAACGGAGTTTAATTTACACTTTTACATGTGAATATGACATTGAAATGTTAGTAGGTATTCATTCTAAGTTTGTGAATTAAAAATCTATATCATTTATTTATTTTTTGATAGAGTACGTTGTTTCTCAGCATGTTGTACGAGCTGCTTGTCTGTAGCGAGCCCTTTCCTCGCCCGCACGGAGTCCATGTACGCTTTAGCGCGGTTCACTCCGTCATATTTCTCGCCCCAGTGCAGATACTCCTCTTCGGTGCAAGGCCGCCAAAACGGATCTATGTCGATTACCTATGAAATCAAATAGTTGAAAATGTTAGTTTCCTAACGAGACTTAATGACATGTCCTTCTTCAAACGAGGCTTGTGAAGAGTATTAAGCGATAGGCAGCGGCTTGGCTCTGCTCCTGGCATTGCTGAAGTCCATGGGCGACGGTAACCACTCACCATCAGGTGGGCTGTATGCTCGTCTGCCTACAAAGGCAATAAAAAAAAGAGTACCAATAACATTTGAGAGACAATTTTCTTTGTATTGTTTTCAAAGACCACATGACGCGCATTTTTAATCATTTAATCATTCATTTAATGTAAAAATCCAAAAATCTTAAAAATCGTACTTAACCCCTTTATCTACTCGTGTCTTCAAATGTGTTCTTAAAACTATTATTTCAAATGAAGTCCTCGCGAAAACAAGATCTTACCTCCCAATGACTGAACAACATTTGAGGTGCGGCCAGACCCGAAGTATGGGTTCTAAGTTCGAGAGCAAATTTGAAGCTCTCGGCTACTGGCAACAACGCTTGGACCCTGAAGGATGCTGAGCCGCTTTGTAAGTCGCTGCCTACTACACGCCCACCGCGGCGACCAAGAGCAGCGTACAGTTTACCTGGTAGAACAAAACAAACATTTCAGCACATGACTGCAACACAAAAAGATGACTGACAAAACAAAAATGTTGATGAGATTCTCTATCTACTTATACTAATATTATAAAGAGGAAAGATTTGTTTATTTGTTTGTACTGAATAGGCTCTGAAACTACTGAACTGATTTGAAAAATTCTTTCACTGTTCTGCAGCTACACTATTCGCGAGTGACATAGGCTCTAATCTTTTTTGAAATAAATTAGGGACCCTTACTAAAACTCCAATAATGTAACCCAAGATGTAAAAAAATTACCTAAAATATTCTTTACATCGCGTGTCCTGCGAAAACTATTGATGATAGAATAAAATAATGTACTACGACTTTGTAGAACACATTATTACTATTTACAAAAAGTGTCGCGACAGCATATGTCTAACTATTATAGTTATGCCACAATAAGTGTTCTTTTATTTAAAAAAAATAAACAACGTCAAATATCGTGGAAATTTTTGTTAAAGACCCGAGCGGAGCCGGAGCGGGCAGCTAGTTCTTTATAATTTTCAAAAAAAAACACGCCACATCGACATCAGATCTCTCCTTGAGCTTAGGAACCACTGACTCGCGAGCTAAGACTGTTCACGTAAAACCCTTCTCCACGTCAGTCCTCCAGGGCCTCGCTGGAGTATTCTCTATTGATTTATTCCTTTACTGGCAATGCTATTTGAGACCTTAAGACAAAAATAATTATTTAAAACTATAAAGATTATCTTCTTCTATACATATAAAAATGAATTGCTGTTCGTTAGTCTCGCTAAAACTCGAGAACGGCTGGACCGATTTGGCTAATTTTGATCTTGAATTATTTGTGGAAGTCCAGAGAAGCTTTAAAAGGTAGATAAATATGAAAATGCTGGAAATTAAATAAAAATAACAATTTTGTTTTTCCGTTGATGTGTCCCCCGTCGGACGGATTCCTTTTGTTTGTTTTATGATTTTTTATACAAAAGTTTAGGCCTTTTATTTATCGATTGAGGCACTACGAAGTCTGCCGGGCCAGCTAGTAAAGGATATATAGTTGTTTCCTATCTAGGCGTGCTCACAGTACGTCCTACGATAAGTAAACTCATTCGACAATACTCTATTTTGAATTATAAATTTATGCTTACATTAGGCCTGACCTTATGTGATCCGATCTAACGTTTTTTTAGCTGTATCACATTTGATTTAAACATGTTGGAGGTTATTTATAAAATTTAATCAGAAGTAGTACTAATAAGAAATCCACTCAGTTCTTTTTTTGTTATTATAAAAATTCTCAGCCATTCTTTCGTAACCTTCCTAATTAACGATGAAGTAGTTAAGTTAGCTACACTAATAAATTATAACGAATGAGCCATGAAGGTTGAAAGCCTCGTGTACTTCATAAAACACATTATAGGTCATTCAGATGACTAAGCGCCCGGTGCCTAATCTTGATCGCGTGACGCCAAATTGTGAGTCAACCACCGATAGAATTACTGAAAAACTATCCGTGCCAATCAGGAAACCTAAAAAACACGGGCCCACCCAAAAAAAGTTCGCTTTCGTGCCGCTCGGGGATCGTTGAGTTTGATTTCTGATCTCTTCACATCGAATACAGTAATGATAAAATAAAAAATACATGGATATATAGATAATAGTTAGATCATTTTTTTTTTGGGAATGTTTAATGGAATTAGTAATAAGGCCTGCCGTCTTGTATGGATCAGCTTGTTGGACCACTAAAGTGGCGGATGAGAGGCGATTGCATGCAGCAGAGATGCGAATGTTGCGATGGATGTGTGGAGTAACGAGAATGGATAGAATACGGAATGAATATGTTAGAGGAAGTCTGAAAGTGGCACCTGTGACAGAGAAGCTGAGAAGTGCGCGTTTGGGGTGGTATAGAAAAGTGACGAGACGGAATGAAAATGAGGTTGGTAAGAAAATGTTAACTATGAATGTGGAAGGATATAGAGGAAGAGGTAGACCTAAGAAGAAATGGATGGATTGCGTGAAAGACGATATGGGTAAGAGGGGAGTGAGCGAAGAAATGGTATATGATAGAAGAGTATGGAAGGAGAAAACATTTTGCGCCGACCCCATGTGACTGGGACAAGGGCAGGATGATGATAATGATGATGATGATGTTTAATGGAATTAGTTTATAGTATTGAAGATTTTTTTGCATTTAAGCCTTTAACATTACCCCTTAACCCTTTAGCATTATTATAAACACACAAACAACTTAGATTGTAAGTGTACTATATATGAGTACAATAAATAAAAAATGCAAATATTATAATCGGAAAATCGATATAAATAGTTTTATCATAACTTTTTCATTTATGTTTATTAGAAAAATATAATAAACAGCTTAGCCTAAACGAGGCACAAGTATTCAGTGATCAGTCGGTTAGAAAAATTCCTGGCTTCATACCGATTGGACGCGGTCATTTTCGGATGAAAGGGGCCTTCCGGTGACGGGCGGTCGCCACGACAGAGTTTGACGAACAAACAGACAACCTTTTTATTTGCATCCGTATTTGAACTATCGACACGATGAGAATGTCTCACAAAAAAAAAAAAAAAACATTCTAGTAACCGTTCTTGTCGTGCATCCAGCCCACTGAGTTTCTCGCCGGATCTTCTCAGTGGGTCGCGTTTCCGATCCGGTGGTAGATTCTGCGAAGCACGGCTCTTGCTAGGGTTCGTGTTAGCAACGTCGTCAGGTTTGAGTCCCGTGAGCTCACCTACTAGTTAAGGTTACGTTGATATGGTCTCTCTAGACCATCAGCTTAGGCGGGAAAAAAAGTCGTGCATAGTCGCCTTCTTTTGTTCGTAAACAAAGTTATCTGTTTGTTTGTACGTCTGTAGATGATGCCCTCGACAACAAGCGAATCAGTTTACAATTGTAGGTGATTTATAATCGTTGGATTATCGTTTAAGTGCTTCGTTTGAATCAGTTTAAAAATTAAAAAATGAATTAATGCAATTTTAAAGCACGGATGAAACCGAGAGCATAAGTTGGTGCGTATACGTAAAAGAACTTTAGTGTGTGCATAAAAATTACTAATATACTGAATTGTTTATTAGTTAGTAAAGTATTTGTATTTAATATTTCTTGCTGTATTTTATTTAAGCAGAAGAAACTTTTTATTTTTTAATTGCATAGATTGGTGGATGGTTGCCGGAGCATATTACGAGTATATAGGCAAAAATAGGTACCTATGCGTACGGCTTAAATAAGCCCTATGATCATTAGTGCGGGTTGACGATTGCAGTTCACAAAGAGTGCAGCTATCCGCTTACGAGAAGACACCAACGAGAAGAGATGACTTGGAATTATTATCTCTATTGGTCGATTACGCATTTATTCGATTACGAGATTTTTATTCAGTTTTTTTCTTCATAAATTTCATTATGTATAATCAAAGAAAAGTAAGGTTTTTTTCAAACTTTTTTCGAAAAATAATGTGATTTCGTTTGGAGGTGTATAAATTAGGAACGTTTCTAACATGATGGTAGAATTATCAAATAATAATAAAATAACACATACTATACGCCTCAATAGCGGTTCTACGAAAGAGAAGGCGAGATATTTATTATACACTTTTACAAAAAAAATTATACTAATTTCGGTGTCTGAACAAAATAAATCTGTTTATTTCTTATCAGTTAATATTATAGTATATTTTATTAGTTAATATAGAGATCCATAAAATTTATACATATAAACTTATGCAGAAATTAACAAGTATAAATATAGATTATGTTAAATTAAATCTTAGTGTTAAAACAATGCATACATGTCTAAATTTAGTTTCGATTACTGAAGTTATTATAGATATGTTAATTTATAAAAAAAAATCATAAGAAAACCGAATCAATAATTAAGTAACACATATTGACCTACATAAATGTCCTTAAAGCCTACACGTGTATCGGACATCCCACGCAGAATAATAATATCAGTATATATACATACATAATATGTGTATATTTTATTTCGTAATCATAAGCGGTACCAGTAAGTAGCTATTTAATACCATGTTTGTAACTTTATAACGGACTTGAATTGGTTTTACGTCTATAGTTCGAAAACATGTGTTTGCTTTTTAATATAAACATATAAAGTTTCTCGCAAGTTATAAGCACTGGCAAAGTATTATAATTTTGTCTCATAATATGGAGCGAATACTTAAAATTCCGTTGGCGCAGTGCACGAAGGCAATAATAATGTGGCGACATGGTCTTCCTTTGGATTTTACTAAGTCACATTTTTTTTTCTTTTTTTTTTTTTCCCTTGTAGACAGACGAGCATACGGCCCACCTGATGGTGAGTGGTTACCGTTGCCCATGGACTTCAGCAATGCCAGGGGCAGAGCCAAGCCGCTGCCTACAAAGTTGAAGTAGTACTGGTGGCCCGGAGGCCTTTCCAGTTTCACCAGGACATGTGGCCTTTCCAGTTTCACCAGGGCGAGCAAAGGCTTAGCCAGGAGGGGTGGGATTTGCTAACAGCTACCCGAGCGCATCCGAAGAAGACCTAACAACTCAAGAGTAGCTGCTTCGCGAATGATTCTACCGAATCGGAATCGCGACCCGCTGAGAAGATCCGGCGAGAAACTCAGCGGGCTGATGCATGGGTTAGGTTGCACGTCGACCTCTTTGCCGAGTTCGACGAGTACCTACGGCTACCGAGATCCCTAAGCCTGCTCCTAGTGTTAGAGCTGAAGGTATCTAATGCAAGAGTTATTGGACCTGATGGATCCGTAAGGACGTGAAGTCATCTTTATTCTCGGTTTTTACACATACATATCGAGAGGTGAAAGGCTAAATTTGGTTTGAACGAAATTTTTGCAACTTTACAGGAGAGCCGTTGAAAGGATAACATTTGGAGAAAATATCATAACGAAAATACTTCTTTAGCTATTTGAATGGACTAAATTTAATTGAAGTTCAATTAAAAACATCGAATTATTGATACTAATATCAAATAAA